GCTGAACCTGTATTTGCTGTCCCCTAGTCAGGATGACCATGGAACATGGTCATTTCTTCCTGGCTCAGCAAGGTCTTGCGGCACCCATAGCCAACCAGTAGCAGGGAAGGAAGCCAATGGCTAATACCAGGCATTTTGGAAGACGGTTCCTCAATAGTTATAACTCTGGTCAGATTTCTTTCAGCTGGATAAAACTCTAGGAAATCATCTAGAGCCTGATTAGAACATCAGTCAGGCAGATTAGGTGTACTTGCGGTGCCCAGCAATTTGTCAGGTTATGGGAACTCTGTGCTTGCCTGTGTGTGGACAAGTGAAATGAAGTAGGCTGTTGAGATCACATGGAAAGGTTTTATATTGCACAATATTAGACCTAGCCACGTTAAAGAAAAAGACTGATTTCCGAGGTTCCATCGTGCCCTGGAGCTTTCAGATAGCCACACATCAAACTTAGTCATGAGAAGAGACTATGTTGTTAAAGCTGTGTGAAATGGGTGTTCTGGGCTGCTTTTCTTCTAGCTGACAGTATAGAAAAGCCAGCCAGCATAAAAATGAATGGCTGAAAATAAGTGTTCAGTTGTCCTCAGCAAATACAATTACTTCAGCCAATTTTTGTAAATATTCGGCTGTGGTTTCTGTCAAAGTCAATGTGGGCAGGAGGGTGACCTTCCTTCCAGTTCAGTCAAGTGACAAAGGCAGCCCTTGGAGCATTTCCATCAGCTCCAGACCCCCAGTCTTGCCATACAGCCATGCTGCCATCAGCTGCCTTTCTAGCACACAGCATGGCTTCTTTGTAGATCTACAGACTGGTATTTTCTGGGGAGTGCAAATTGCTAAAGCCCTTTGCACCTCAGCTGGGTTGTATTTTCTGTATAAAACCTCCCAATAATCTTTGAACTAGTCAAATTTCAATTATCTTGAACAAATTTATTAATGCAGGCTGCTGACATATGGCACATTTTTCTGAATGTCAAAGGAAAAAATAGAGTGGTTACTTTCACATCAGCTAAAATTTCTTTTCTACCATTTACAGAGAAACTGCAGAGAAGTGCAAAAATTGGTTGATTCAGAATTAGTGCCCTACATTAGCAATGTCACAGGAGCAGCTGACGTGTGCAGCAGCCATCTTTGTCAGGACAATGGATGATGTGTGTGAAGAACCTCGAGAGCCTCAACATATCTACAGTTGAATCTTAAGAGCTTCTGGATAGATGCTTCAGAGGACCAAGGATTTATTTTGGGAGGAGAAGCATCAAATGCAGATCTGTAAATAACGGCAGAGACATCTGTCTGCCACTGTTGTCAGGATTATGAAGGAACTGACTGGGGGGGAGTTAAAGTTGCTGATGACCACCCAGGGAGCTCTGCAGACTCTGTCTCTCCTAGAAGATATGCAGGGATCTGGCTACTTCCTCTGCATTTGGCAAATCTTCTCTAACTACTGCTTAGTCAAAAGGCTGGTTTCAGTCAGTTGAGAGGGATGGCAGAGTGGATCCAGCAGAAAGTGTCACATGCTTTGCAGCTATATTATACATATAATATAATCCAAACCGTATTGTGCCCCAAGGTTTAATGCCCATAGGCATGGAGAGAGTGCGGCACCTTGAAAGCTGAGTCAAAAATGCACAGGTCTGAGGAATACGTCTGGCCCTTGATCCCATCTTCTGAGATTAGGCTGCTTAGGAGGCTAGAAGACAGCTTTCTGCCCAGCTGACAGCCACAACCAGGACAGAGGAAGCCTGCTACTATTGAAAAAAATAGCATGAGGTTCACTTTTTCCTTTGTAGAGGAAGTCTACCCATGTCTAGCTCTTACTGAATGACGTACTGGATACAGCATCCTCACAGAAAATAAAAGATGAGGGGAAGTTTCTAGTTTCTTTTCCACTTGGATCAATTCAAGTCCATGTTTTCCTCTTTCATGTCCTAAGTGATGGAGGTGTTCATGCTTTGACACCTCCACAAAATAAAAAGTAATGAAAGATTCAGGAGATCAGGAAGAAAAAAGACAGCTGCTTAGTTGATAGTATATTTTCTGAGAAAGGAATTTATATATTCTAGTACAACAACAAAGGGTCTCCCTGTGTTTTTTTTTATGCTATGACTGTATAAAACAAAATTAATATGCAGTGCTGGGAGAAGGAACATCTCAGCCAGGTCTACTTCCATCATGAATCTATGACAATACTCCAGTGACTTAAAGTTAATCATAACACCCCATGGCTATTATAGAAACACAATCAACAAGGATCAGGCAGGTTTATCATCTTTAATAAGAAACTTATTTACATCCCAACTGCCATGGTAAGATTTGTCCTCTGGAGTGGGTGCAAAGGCTCAGAGGGCTCTCCTTCTAGTCAGCAGGGAAAAGAATGCTCTTCTAGAGATGACTGTGAGCAGAAGGAAAACCTGGCATGTCTCCAGGGCACTCTGCCTTCCAGCTTCTCAGTCTCCCAGCTTCCCGGGGGTTAAGTATTCTTGAAAGAGAATTTACTGGAATGAAACAATTACAAACCATGTGGTTACTAAGAATATACATTAAAAGATGAATATGCACACATATAATATATATTTGAAATAATCGTGTCTTTATAATAGAATCTCTGTAGCTGGAAGAAGAATAGACAAATAACCATAAGGCACATAAGAGATCTATGAGACCTATGCTGAGTTTCCTGCTGTATTCTATTTGACCCAGGAAAACGTTTGAAATATAACATCCAGCTCCCACTGGCCTGCATTATTCATTTTGTCACAGAACCTTAAAGATCCCATCAGGCTTAGACCTGGTGATTTTGTATCTCTTAGTAGCTTTTCATTCTTCAAACATACGTGATTACCCTCATACCTAACCTCAGCGAGTTATTGCCATAATAACTATGTTAAACAAATGATTTTAAGGTGAACAAACACTATGTTACTAGAGCTCTTGAAGGTGAGAAGAACTTCCATTATTGTTTTCACAGAACTCCATTGTAGAAAGAAATATTTTAAATTCAATTTAAGTTAAGGAGACTGTGACTAAACCACAGCCAATCAATATGAAATAAATTGAGTTTAGAGTGAACCTTCCTTAAAAGAAAAAATAAATTAAATTCAGGCTATTTCTTTCAAAAAATAAATGCAGGAGATCAACTAACAATTTTCTAAAGCATATTTTTATAGTGAAGAAAACTAGAGGTATTTTGGTTGATTTTTTTTGAGGGAATGGCTTTCTCAGAATAAATGTGGTTTGTTAAATCAAAGTGCTGATTGTGCTGAATTTTTCAAGGGAAAACTGTAAAAATGATTCATTTGACATTCTGTTTGTGCTGTAGGACTGAAGTACATGGTAATAGGAAACAAAATATCACTTAATGTTTTCTGAGCAGCATTGGATTAGATGTTAGTTTTGACTCTTCTTGCTGTCTTTGTTAAGGTCACATCTTACCACTCACAGTAACTAAATATTGGGAAAAAGAACCAGTGTTTTATAATACCAAATTTCAAAGTCTTCTGTGAATATGTTAAATCAGCAACTGTCTGTAATACATTAATGCGCCTTAAATGAATGTTAAGATAACCCTTTGTACCCAAACATGCATCCAGGTATGCAGGCCCAAATTTTTCCCACCCAGTATATCCATTGAAGTGGGGCAACTGAATTAGAACCTAACCTGTTAGTGGGGAGGGCACCTCTTGAGGACCACTTCAGGTGCAGTGGGGTTTAACTGTTTTTAAGGTAAGTAGCCCCTGTGGAGATGTTGTTGTAGATGGCAGTTTTGATCAGAGGTCCCTATATGCCACCTCAGTATCAGTCTAGGCATGTAAACCGAGGTTTGGGTCTGGGCCACGTTTTCTCTTTAGGAAGAGGTGCAATGGCTTTTTAACAAAGCACAAACCAACTCTGTCATACCACTTCCTCCCACTGAGAGATGGAGGGTTGGGTGGGTTTTTTTGCAACGGCTCAAATAATTTTTTGAAGTGGTCTCCTGCTACTTTTTGTTGTGCTGAGGGACATGGTTTAGTGGTGTTGATACAGCTAGGACAAAGGTTGGACTTGATGATCTTGAGGGTCTCTTCCAGCCAAAACTGTTCTATGATTCTATGTCCAGAGAAAGACCTCAAAACCCAGGTTACACTGAGAGTTGTCATTTTTAATTATTACAGCCCAGATAAGCAAACAATAAAGCACAGACCAGTAAAACAAAACTGGGCTTTCAAATATTTCAGAAGTATCTATCAAGTTTCAATCTGCGTCTCCCTCTCAAAATACTGGCAGGCCAGATAATTTTGTGAGTAGCCAAGTAGCCAAGATCTGCTGTGTGACAGTGATGATCTGCAGGATGGTACCATGAGGAGATACTTCCCAAATCACAGCAGGTCACCCACCCACAGCAGGGTACACCCCACACAGAGTCTGTTTTCATGGGGAAAACTGAACCAGGTGCTCCTTCTGACTCCTCTGCTAGCATCCCTCTCCTCTTGAGGCTGGACACTCAGGCTTTGTGAGATCTGGTATAAATTTGTATCAACTGCATCCCTAAGATTAAACCATCTCTCTTATGTTCTCCTGTGAGAAGCATTTCTCATGTCAAATTTTACAACTTTTTAGGATTTCTGCTTTCTTCTCCTTGTGTTTCCTGTTGGCTACATTTTGTGATCCTGGCTTGATGGCATATGCAAATTTATGTCCCAGGATCTGTCATAGAGCATCTTAGAAACAATCACACTACTTAAACTTCAGACTCTCAGTGTCCATATCCTTAAGATTTAGCCATGCCAAAACTGAGGATTATGGTGACTAAATTATTTTATGTATTGCAGTAGGAGTTCAACACCTAAACTGGCCTGAAAATCTGCACCTGGGCTGTCAGCAGCTGCGTGGTTAAAACTGTTACATGTGGTGTGTAGAATGTGAATTCAACGCACCGTAATAAAACTGATGGTCAGAAAAAATATTCTAGCTGTAGGCTTTTTTCCTACAGAGGATTAAAGTTCTATATATGTTATTATACCTACTAAAAGGTAGTGATAAAATTAATTAATCTCTGTACTTCCACGAGAATGGATGGTTTTAAGTATAACAAACATATTTTCTCTTATCATAGTACAAATTGTGATTCATGCTTTATGAGGCTAAACATTCCTTAGTAATATTACGTGAAAATAATAATGTATGAAACAAAAATCAGAGGATAGATGATAAGCATAGAAATATTTTAGTCGGTGATTTTGATGGTCTGACCCAAAGCTACATGAAGTCAATGGTAAGATTTGCTTGCTTTCAATAGGCCTTGCATTGAGCTGAGGTACCTTGCAGAGAATTACACCACAAGCATCTTGAGACGTTGATAGGTGTCCCTGCCATGCTAGAACATTCCTAAAATAGATCAGAAGGCATGCATTGCAAGCAAAACCAAGCTTTGAAGAAGCTTGTGTCGTCATCTAAATACAAAAGGTATCTAATAAGCTGCTAAGCTTTTAGATAACCAACAAATATCCTATGTGAGCTGGCATTTAACAATATCTATTATATGTTATAGAAGGCATATAGAATTTGTTCATCAAATTTTATGCTGTGCTAGAAATGAAGTTGTTTAGGCTATAATATCCTGCTAAGCAAACATAATCTTCCCCAGCACCAAGGTCAGGCTTGTACACAGGGGGAGCTATCTAGCACCAGCTGGAAAAGAACAAAGACTAGCAGGATGGACTCACTGTAAGAGTATATAAAAACAAAAAATAATTGACAAGAACCTAGTGATAAAGGACCATCTGGTGATGAAAGGCCCCTGTGGAATTCGAGGACAAAGATATCTTACGAAATGTGCTGCGAGCAACTAGTTTTTGAACCAAGGTAAAAGTTTATCGTGAGGAAGACCTACGGCCTTCGTACCTGAAGACCCCTGCCCAAGACCACCAGGAGGCACTGCGCAGGTGTCAAGAGGAGGAGCAGCCGACAAGCATCTAATGAATATGTAACTTTCTTTGCATATAACCAAGGTATCTGCCCCTGCACGGGTGCAGCTGTGGTATGAGCACTCCTGGTGAGAGCTGCTCCCCGCTGCCCAGCGCTGTTTTGCTTACTCAGCCGCTTGCTAAATTTAATAAATTTTATTAATCACTTAAATTCTAAATTGGCTCCTGGGTTTTATTCCCACAATTTATAACAGTATCAGGTGTGAGGATAACTTTAAATGTTCTTTTACCTAGACAAAAGATTAACTGTCAGCTAAAAATTTGCATGTATATCACTAATAATTGAAACCATGTACAATTTTCAGCAAAACTAGTCTTTTAGCAGAGGCAGCCAAGGTTTGGGTTTGTAGTTGTAAGTGAGAACAGGACACAAGGAAAACCGCTCTGACATTACCACCTGCCGATCAGCATCCTAGACTCTTTTATGAGTCACTTTGAAATAGGAAATCTGATACTAATTCTGAGTTTCAGGTTGTTT